ATTAAAACAAGCTTGGAAGGAGGAGTGGCCTCCACTTCCATAATAGCTTGCCTCTGGAAACCCTATGAACCTGGAGAGAGGATGAAAGGCACCCAAGCGTTGAGGACTCTCCTTCATAGGGTTGCTATGAGTCGTCTGCGACTCGATAGCACTTAACAACAACAACCCTTCTAAAATTATAGAGAAACAAAAATAATCATTTGTGTTTAAGAATTAGTCTATACACATACCTAAGTATAGCTTTCAAATGTGTGGAGTCATTAGAATCCAATTCTTTATTTAATCTTGAATAATCAATAGAAGATGTTAATCCTTTTTCAAGCCTGGCAAAAAATTGTTCTTTCTCTTCTTGTTCTTCTAAAGTGTCCAATCCCAATCCAAGAACACTATGGCTGAGCTCAGAAATGACCCGCTCTAAAGAAAAGCACAAATGCAATGATGCATACAATAACACTGTGTAATCTTTTATTAAAAAATGATATAAATAAAAGTTTTTTGAAAATGGATAATCTCCTTTCACCTGCCACATATGAATGTATATTCATAATTAGCCTATAAGGCTAATTATCTAAAGGTATAATTATAAATCTTTGATAGAGTGCTTAATTTATCTACATGCTTTAAGATAGGAGGCTCTAGGTAGCTATGAGAAAAATTTTTTAAAAATATTGACTATAATAACTACAGTCATTAATAAATATAAATGAGTATCATGCCCATCACTTACCATTAGTTTCTAAGCTGTCAATACTCAAGATAGATGTTCCACTGCTCTTAAGAAATTGCAACTTTTCATCAGAATCCTCTTCCATTTCCATCACAGGCTGGGAAGTCTTCTTCATTTTCAAATAGCTTACATTTGTTTTGAGCAATCCTGGAAAAGGGATTTAACAGTTGAACAGTTATGTTCAGAAACATGTTTTAACCATTATGCTAATTTTATGTGAAGGAGCTCCAAACTAAATTTGCTCAAGTGAAAATCAACCATACCTGAAATCTATAAAAGAAAAAAAAAATAATTCCATTGAATACAAGGTATCTGATTAAACAGGATGTTTAAAAATTAGCATAATGTACAAAATAAAAAAATATTTTTATTATGCTTTATTAATACTAATTAGAAGCACAGGCATATAAAACAGTATACTATACAACTTTAAAGAAGATATTCTACATTATTTCTCTTAGAGCATTTTTGCTGCCTAATTTTTAACACTACTGAAATACACTTGGATAGAATGAATCAATATAGTAAAATATGATGAAAATAGGTACAATTTAAGGTAATTTCTAAAAACCAAAACCCAAATCACTGCCATAGAGCTGCCCCCCTGTATTTCCAAGGCTGTATACCTTCACAGGAGCAGACTGCCCTATTTTTTCCCCTTAAAGTTTGAACTCTTATCTTTTTAGTTAGCAGAGCAACCCTTAACCTACTCAAACACTGATGCTAGGATAATAAACTCAGCAACTCAACTTAGTGCCATCAACTTGGAAACACCTCATGGTTGACCCTCCAGTGGGTTTCTGGGTGCTGTGACCTGCATGGGAGGAAACTGCCTATTTTTCTCCTGTGGAGCCCCTGGAGGATTTGAAGTGTCAGAGAGGCACCAACTTTGGGTTAATGCTGCTAACTCCCCTTAGACTACTCCACCAGAGATCCCTGTAGAATGAGTAAGGAAGACAGAAAAGGTCTTTTCCTAGTGTCAAGATCATTTAAAGAAAACACAAGTAAAAATTAAATTGCCTTCCAAAGTCGTTGTTTTCCAACCACTGGAAAGATTGGCTGACTGGCAAAGTAATCTTCACAGTAAATAGGGTGTGCTGGCGTGTGGAGGGAGGGGGAGCTACCACAACCTCTCACAGCACTCGAACCCAAACTTTTCTGTAAGCACTTACAGTACTTATGTTCACAGTACTTATGAACATAGCACTTATGTTCAAATGCTTCATGACTGAATTGACTGTAAGGAATTATTATCAATGTTCCTCAGCTAAGAGTACTATGGTTCTACTTGAACAAGAGAGCCCCTATTACTTACCAGTACTGAAGTGCTATGTTGCAGATATATTAAGATCTGATGGTGGCATACAGCAACAGTGAGGAAGAGAAATGAAACATGACTGGCCAGGAATTAGTAATTGCATCACTTGGCAGGGGGCATACAGGAGTTCATTCTACTGTGTTTACATTATCTTATCAAATTTTATAAACTTGTTAAAATCTGCCCTGCAGTGACATTATCATTGCAAGAATGCTTTACTAAGTATTGTCGTTGTTCTTGTTAAGTATGTCAAGTCATAGATGACTCACAGCGATCCTATGAACGAAAAGACCTGAACACTTGTATAATTTTGGTCATTTCTCCATGTTCATAGAATTTCTGGAGACAAGCAATTTAGGAATTGGATGTCACTCTTGCTTCCAAGTTTGTTTTACTCAGGAAGCTTCACCAAACACTGTCCACTATGGTTAACCATTATCACATTTGGCACATCAGTGTCACAGTGTTTAACATCACAGCAACTACGAGTTACCACCGTACAGCAATGCACAGACCACTGCTATATCACTTAGAAGAATGTTTTGACAAAAGCAATTTAAACCAGGCCAGAGGACTGCAGATTAAAACCACCCACCTTGGGCTTGGTAGCATAACTTTCTGTCCACTAGGCCAACATAGCTCTCTTTATGTTGTCGTTGTTATTGTTGTTAAGTACTGTTGAATCATAGATGACTCAGAGCGACTCTATGAACGAAAGACCTGAACACATGGATAACTTTGGTCATTTCTGCATGTTCATAGAGTTTCCAGAGAGTTTACTAAGTATTACATGGTTAAAATAGTTTATGAAATCATATTAATATGGTAACATAAATATGTTTACATTATTAATCAATGAAAAAAATTGGCTGACACTGAAATTTTTCATGGCCAATAGCCAATGTATTTAAGAAGGTCAAGCTGCAATGAAGGCTGGGGTAAAAAAATTACATCCCAAGAATTGATGGAATACCAACTGACCCATATCAACTAAGAGATGTTGCCCTGGACATGCTCATCAGTCTATGCTAGGAAATATGGAGGATACCTGCTTGGCTGACTTACTGGAAGAGATCCATATTTGCTCCCATTTCCAATAAAGATGACCCAAGAGAATGGAAATAATTGAACAACATCATTAATATCACATGCAAACAAAATATGGCTGATCATTATAAAACAGCCAGAACAGTACATAGATAGAAAACTGCCGGAAGTTCAGACTGACAAAAGTTTAAGCCAAAATTTAAAGGAGCTTGTGGCACCGGGATACCACTGCTGATGTCAGATGGATCCTGGCTAAAAGCAGAGAATACCAGAAGAGTGTCTATTTATGTCTATCCAAAAGCATTGACTCTGTGGATCATAAAAAATTATGGCTAACATTGAGAAGAATGGGAATCCCAGAACACTTTTAATTATACTCAAGTGGACTTATATTAAGAGGCTATTATGCAAAGAGAGTAAGGGAACATGACATAGTTTAAAATTAAGAAAGATGTGTGTCAGAGTTGTATTCGAGAAGTTGGACTCTATAAAGAAGAATATGGCATCAGGCTTGGCGGAAGATTCATCAACATCCTATATTCTATAGACGACACAATTTTGCTTGCTGAAAGTGAGGGCTTGAAGCACTTGCTGCAGTAGATCAAAGAATACAGCTTTCAATATGAACTGCATCTCAGTATCAATTAAAAAAAAATTCTCACAACAGGGCCAATAGGTGACAACGCCTTCATCTTACTTGGATCCACAATTAATACACAGTCAGGAGTTCAGGAGATGTACTGCATTGGGAAAGTCTGCAGTCAGTGACCTCTTCAAATTACTGAGAAGCAATGATATCAGTTTGATGACCAAGGTGTGACTGATTCAGGTCTTGGTCTTTTCAATTACTTCTATGAATCAGAACTAGACAATGATTAAGGATGACAAAAGAACTGATGTCTTTGAGCTACGGTGTTGGAACAGAGTAAAGAATATTCCACGGACTGCCAAAAGAACAAACAGATATATGTCTTGGAGAAAGTGTAGTCAAAGGGCTGCCTGGAGGCAAAGATGTCATGTTTTGTCTCACATACTTTGGGCATAGTGCTAGGAAAGGCTTTTCCTTAGACAGGGACATCAAGCTTTGAAAGATGGATGACTGGTGAAAGAGAGGAAAAACCTTAACGATATGGACTGGCACAGGGACTGCAGCAATAGGCCCAAGTATGTGAGAGATGATGAGGATGGCATAAATTAGGACAGGGGGTCAGATCTGTATATAGGGTTGCTATGTGGCAAACTCGATTCAACAACAACATAACAAGAATCACTTTGAGTAAATATTGCAATGCCAACACAAAGATACACAGTTCAAACCCAACAACTGCTCTGTGGGAGAAATATGGGAAATTTGAACCTGTGTTATTATATCCTGCCTCCTAAATCACTGAAGGTCAGTTATGGGTTGGTTCCAACTTGATGGTACACAACAATGTAAAATAATCTTTTAATAATGCATAAACAGAGAATCCTCAATTATATAATAATTACAATAAAGAGAAGTAATAGGGAAAGCAATTTAAACCTCAAAGTCTACACTATGTTTTTTTCCTTTGTATTTTAGTAGTACAGTAACAAATCAAGAATTAAAAGGTCTTGACTGACCCCTTGTGGTCAAGTAATTTGAAACAAGAAAATCAGCAATATTTACCACCATCTTCCAATTCTTCTTCACTCATCCACCACGGTGCTGAATCTTTCTTCTTTTCTTCCTTTTTCGTTGGCTTGAGTGCTTTGCTTGAATTTTCAAATGAATCATCTGAAAGCTGAATCAGATACTAGTTAATTATAAAATATATTTTTTAAATTTTTTTTTTAATTTTTATTAATTTTGTGTGTACCGTCAAATCAGATCTGACTGGTACAGGAGGAGATTATCCCTCCTTCTCCAGCAGAGCATCTAGTGGA